GTGTGTGTGTTGTGTGTGTGTGTGGGTGTGTGTGTGTGTGTGTGTGTGCCGTGTGTGTATGTGGTGTGTGTGTGTGTGTGTGTGTGTGTTGTGTATAAATAGATAGGTAGATAGATAGAGGTATACTGTTGATGCAAATATGGATGCAGGTATAGATACATAGATATAGCTACAGATATAGATACATCTATAATAATATAAACATTTGTATATAAAGGTGAAATATATATGTAAAAAAAAATAAGTGGTAAAAATGAGGGCGTTGGCAACTTTTGGATGTCGGATGAATGTTTTTATTCGCTCACATGAATGTATTTTCGTGTACACACATGTACGCACTTATAAGCACATTTGGTAAATAATGTAATGTAATGCAAATAAAATAGTAAGTTACGCTTTGATTATCTTCCTCTTTCTCACTTTCTGTTCTTTCTATCTGTCCCTGTCTCTGTTCCTCTCTCTTTCTCTCTTTCTTTTTCTCTCTCCTGCCCCCTCTCTCTCCTTCCTTGTCTCTCTTCTCTCTCTATCCTGTCTCTCTCTCTCTCTCCGTTTTCTCTTTCTCTTCCTTTCTCTTTCTCTCTCTCTCTCCCTGTTCCTCTCCTTCTCTTTCTCTCTCTATCCCTGTATCTCTCTCTCTCTCTCTCCTTCTCCTACCTCATCTCATATCGTCTCTCTTTCGCAAACACTCCAAACCTACAATTCGTTTAGAACAACATTTGGACCGACAACACACTTCTTAAAGACTCCCCCACCCCCCACCCCCTCACCCCCTCCCACCGACAACACACTTTTTAAAAGACTCCCCCCCACCCCACCCCCTCACCCCCCCCACCGACAACAACTCTTAAAAGACTCCCCCCCACCCCCACCCCCTCACCCCTCCCACCGACAACACACTTCTTAAAAGACTCCCCCCACCCCCCTCACCCCCTCCCACCGACAACACACTTCTTAAAAGAGGTTTCTTAAAAGACTCCCTCACGCCCTCCCTGCCCCCCCTCACTCCCTCCCATCGACAACACACTTTTTAAAAGACTCCCTCACCCCCTCACCCCTCACCCCCTCCCACTGACAGCACACTTCTTAAAAGACTCCCTCACCCCCTCACCCCCTCCCACCGACAACACACTTCTAACAGACTCCCTCACCCCTTCCCCATCCCCCCCTCACCCCTCCCACTAACAACACACTTCCTAAAAACTCCCACCCCCCCCTCACCCCCTCCACCGACAACACACTTTTTAAAAGAGGTTTCTAAAAGACTTCCTCCCTGCCCCCCTCACCCCACTCCCCCCCCACCCAAAAAAGAGAGGTTTATAATCAAATAATCCGGCAGCTCCATTTTCTTCCTCGTCATCACCACAAAGTCATCACAAAAATGTTCACAAATACGACAATATTTTTTTTTTATTGTATTCAGCATTTATTTGTTTTTCTTATTTCGTATTTTTTCTCTCTCTCTCCTTGTTTCTATTATTTTTTTTTTGGTATATCTTTGTATCGTTTGTCGACTTATTTCTCTTTTTTTTGTTCGTCTAGTTATACTTCTTCTCTATTCTTGCATTTCTTATTTATTCGTTTATTTATTGTCTATTTCTCATTCCTTTTGTTTTGATAAACACGTATTTTTAATTAAATTACAACCCAAAATTTTTTATTTCATTTCTTATCAACGGAAATGGACGCTAAATGAATAAATAAATCTCTTGTTAAACTGACACATGACGATAGAAAATATATGATTTTATGAAGTATATCTTTCAGCGGTTATATAATAGCAAAACTGATCTTTCAATAACTGCTACAACATCGAAAATATAACCTGAGTATACCATATCGGAGTTCGTATGTCTCAGGAGGAGGATGTCATCTTTCAGAACACATGTTTGTACTTATATTACGGTTTTCTTAATCAATAAGCAATGATAAGAATATTTTTTTTTCTGGATGTCATAATTATCTTTATCAGTATTGATGCATATATATATATATATATATATATATATATATATATATATATATATATATATATACATATATATATATATACACATATATTTATGAATAAACAAAAAATAAGATAATTTACAACAGGTATCATTACTTTCATCACCAGATCCACAGCAACCCCATGAAAATCCCCCCCCCCCCCCCCAAAAAAAAACGATCTCTTAGCAAAAATCTGGCATGACCATTAGTAAAAAAAACTAAATAATAAAATAAATAAATAAATAAATAAATAATAATAGATAAATAAACTGATTAAACCCCCAAAATAATAACAAAAAACAAAGTCCTGATCACTGTTAGCAGACGGAGCCCCCATAGCAATTGCACCGTGCCACTTGCGGTCCGAGGTCCCCGCTGACAGCCCGAGCGCCGGTGTCTCCTCCACGGACTCTGATTGATGACTGGGATCAACTTGATACGTTGGGCGATTACATGCTCTGAGGAAATTCACGGAGGAGGAGGAGGCTGTGACGTAAGTTGAGCCTCTTGTCACACTTTCATATCTACTGGATGTCAATCTGTCTGTCTACACACACACACACACACACACGCCCATGTATATATATAATATATATATATATATATATATATATATATATATATATATATTATATATATATATATATATATATATGTACACACACAACATAAACACATATACACACACATAAACAACATACACACACACACACACACACACACACACACATACATACACACACACACGCACACATATACATACACATACACATACACACACACACATACACACACACACAATTATATATATACATTTACACATACACACACGAGTATGTGCATAAAACACACAGGCGAATGCAATGAGAGGGAAAAAGAGCGAAAGGTGTGTAAAAAACACCCACGCACTCACACACGCACATAATGTATGTACTGAGTATGACGTACCGACACACATGCGGGAAGCTCTCGATAAGGGTATGTGTGTGTACTTCGTTGTGCTTCTGTGTACGTAAATGTAAATGTAAGCAGGGACTCTCGATAAGGTACGGTGTACTTCGTTGTGTCTGTGTGCGTCTTGCTTGCGTGTTCAGGGACCGATCAGGCACAGTAAAAAGCCCCCCCCCCCCCCCACAATGTCTATACTTATATAGACCTTGGCCCCCCCCCTACCCCCTTCTAAAACCCGAATCTACTCCCCCCCCTCCTCTCCCTCTCACTCTACTCGTCCTCCATTCCACCCCTTTCCTTTTCTCTTCCATTTCACTCCCTCTCCTTCTTCTAGTCTCCCTCTCCCTCTCTCCTCCCGCTTCATCACCTTCCTCCATTTCACCCCTTCCCCTATATTTCCCCTCTCCTTCCTCTCTCTCTTCTAGTCCCCCTCTCCTCTCTCCTCCCTCTTCCACTCCTCCTTCCCCTTCTCCATCCATCCCCTTTCCCCCACTTCGCCTTTCCATCCCTCTTCTCCCTCCTTCCTCCTCTCACAGCTTCCCTATCCCCTCTTCCCCAACCCCTCCCCTCATTAAACCCCTCTCCTTCCCCTTCTCCATCCATCCCCCTTTCCCCCCTTCCCTTTCCATCCTCTTCTCCCTCCTTCCTCTCACAGCTTCCCCTATCCCCTCTCCCCCCCCCCCCCTCATTAAACCCCTCCACCCTCCCCCTTCCCCTTCCCCCTCATTCCACCCCCTCTCCCCCACCTCCCCCTACACTTCCCCCCTCATTCCACCCCTCACCACCTCCCCTCCCCTCCTCATTCAACCCCCTAACACCCCTCCCCTCTCCCCCGCCCCCTCATTCAACCCCCTCCCCCCCCTCCCCCTACATTTCCTCCCTCATTCAACCCCCTCTCCCCTTCATCCAAACACATTCTTTGCCACCCCTTCCCCTCCCCCCCCAAATTCAACCCACTCCCCTCCCCCCTCATTCAACCCCATCCCTCCCCCCTCATTCACACCCCTCACACCCTCCCCTCTCCCCTCATTCAACCCCCTAACACCCTCCCTCTCCCCTCATTCCACCCCCTCCACACCTCCCCTCCCCCCTCATTCAACCCCTAACACCCTCCTCTCCCCTCATTCCCCCCTCCCCCCTCCCCCCTCATCCACCCACCACATTCCTCGCCACCCTTCGTCCAGTCATTTCGCAAACATTTCGCGGAACTCTTAAGTGTCTTAAGACTAAAAGAAGGGCGAGGAGGGAAGGGAGTAGCGGGGAGGGGGAGAGGAGGAAAAGGCGGGAGGGGAGGGGAGGATGGGCACGGGAATTGGGGAGAGGAGGAAGATGAGGGAGGAGGGGGAGGGAGAGGAGGAAGAGGCTGGGGGGGGGGAGGGGAGAGAGGGAGGATGGCAGGGGAGGGAGGGGAGGGGGGGGGGGAGGGATGGCTGGGAATGGGAGGGGAAGAGGAGGAGATGGAGGGGAGGAGGGAGGATGGCTGGGGGGAATTGGGAGGGAGGGAGGAGGGGGAGGATGACTGGGGGAGGGAGGGAGGAAGATGGCATGGAAGGGGAGGGGGGAGGGGGAGCTATCTTCCTCCCTCTTCTTCCGCCGTTGCGTAAATTTCGTTGTATTTTCCGCCGTGGTCGTCGCTTTTGGTCCCGTGTGGGGAATATAGGGAGGAGGAGATAGGAAGAAGTGATAAAGGACGTGGATAAAGAAGAGGAGAGGATAACGATAGATATACAAACACAGAGGCAAGTGCACAGGCATAAACACACAAATCTCTCTTTCTTTCTCTCTCTCTCCTTCTCTTTCCTTTTCTCTTTCTCTCTTACCTCTCTGTCTTTCTCTTCCTGTCTCTCTCTCTCTCCCTTTCTTTACCCTTTCTCTCTTTCTTATTCTCTCTCTCTCTCACTTTCTTATTCTCTA